AATACGCCCTGGAGTGAGTATGTGTCTGTGTGTGCCCTTTAATGGACTGGCATCTCATCCGGGGTGTATCCTGCCTTGCACCCAGTAATTCCTGAGACTGGCCCCGGGCCACTGTGTCCCTCATTTGGAGCAGTGATTATTGAAAGTGTTGTGTGATGTAATGAAAAAACTATAGCATATTCATCCTTAGAAGCTGACATGCAAAGAAAGTGTGTACTCTTATGTTCACCCAATAGTGCTGTCAACTGTGATCGATAGTGAGCATTTCACTGTATAGTTCTTTCGATTAATACAGGACAGACCTATAGTATGTAGTGCCTTTAGGCATAACCTGACTTCTTGGCACTTTATGAAAGGGAAAAAGAGAAAAGGAATTATGTAGCTGTAATGTACAAGGGTGCAATAGCAAATAAAGATTCAGTAACTCTAATTTTACTTTATTTTACTCTTTCCTACAGTACAATGACATAGACAACAGCTCTGTACACCTCACTACTGTATGTCTGGGTGATGAAATGATTTGAAACTGCAGACAGTTGTTAACAAGTGTCACAAGATTAACATAACCCCCTCACTAATGCTCACAGCCCAGTGTAGTCAAATCACTGGCATTCTCACTGCTGTGCCACTCTTTCTGTTTAGCCACAGTCCTGGGGGTTAGACAGGTATTCAGGTCACACAGAGGTATGCTGCTGGGGGATTATTTTTTCTGTATGTTGCTCATTCTCTTACATTTACCATCCAACTGCACAGATGGTTAAGGTGTAGAGGAGAGTTTTGAATATTTACAGGTACTATAGTTTGTACACAAGAAGTATTATGTAACTACAGTATAACACCACTTTGTATTTTTGTTTTTTTGCTTATAACTCTCAACACCATAATGTCATTGTTAACATTATCCATTTCTTTGTCAATGCTAATTACTGTATTATTAGATTATGCAATTTTGCCATGACCCTATCTTTAAAAATGTATCCTCAGTAAGCAAGACTGAAAAGCTTTTAAATGCACTGTATCATTTGGCCTAGTTATGAATGATATGGTGACCAACAGTAGAATATGTTAAGATGAATCGCATGTTGTGTACAAAAAGAGCACATGATATGTTTCTGAGTTACCAAATGCAATACGTAATTGCTATATTTCCCCATGAGGGAAAAATGTTATCCAAAATGTTCTCACCTCAGTTTTGTTGAGTAATTAATAAAACTGATATTAGTCAACATATGTCCTGCAAAATCTTTTTTATATAAAAATAACAATAATTAATGTATTGTCCATTATAAAGTTTTTTCAGCATAATTTTTGTGGTAAATTCAATAGAGGAAGTACAGATTGTATGTGACGAGCATTATACTTTGTAAGGATTAAAGAATTTTATTAAGAATGTAATTTTTTATCCTTTACTCTGAGTAAATACTGTATGAGTATTTGATGGCTAATCATTCTGAAACTATTATAAGTTAGGCATTCTAAAAAAAATACAAAAAAGTGTATTCCATGCCATGAATTAAATAGTTTTTCTTTGGTATGAACTTCAAACAAATCTTGCAATCTCAACAAAATAGCAACATTTCTACTCTCCTCTTAACTTGTGAGAAAATAGGAAATCAGTATATACCACTTCTTCTTCCGACATCCATATACTGTAATTTTCACTAACAAAGTGTGTCGTAAATTACTGTCTGCATTTTTGGTTTGAATGCTCAGTTTGTCCCAAATGATTTATCTGAAGCTGCAAACACCATTGATATCAATAAATGTATGAAAAAACCTTAGAGGCATGACAGCATAATTTTGACATTTCTATACAACCAACCTTCCAAAGTAAAATGTTTGTCCCCTACTAACAAGAAGTGACAACGGTATGTCTCCTATGATGAGAAACTATTTCACATGGAGCAGCAAGTTCAGTTAAGGTTGAAGTATTAATTCAATGTGCATTAATGAAACTACACCTCCTTGAAAAGACTAAAGAACTAAATAACATAAGTGATCCCACAAAGGCCAAGGCTGAAAATGTTTTTCCCTGGGGCGTTTGTCGTCATTTACAGTAATATGGTCGATTTGACGAATCACAACCTAAAAAATTCAGACACAGGCGAAATCTACAGACAGCCAAAGCAATGTGTAACCCCTGGGAAATATCAGCACTCTTGACAGAAAGGAGGAGGGGGGGGCAAGTCAAAACAATTTTTGTGTAGCTTACAACATGACAACGTGGTGTCTAATTGTAGAATCAAAATGTTGGTGCACTTAATCAATTATGATGTGCATGAAGCATGCAGATATAAGAACTGTGCAATTTGTTTGTATGCCATTAAATGCCACAAAAGATGGTTAGGCTAATTGTAGAAAGCCTAAATAACAAAAACAAAACTTAGAAAAAGAGCCACTTTGAAGTGGGCAAAAGCAAGTCTAAAAGACATCTTGTACCACCATTTTTTAAAAAGAAAAATCTTTTATTATTTAAGCCTTAAAGCTACATCACATGTAATTATGACATTAAGGGAACATCATTAATAAAAATAATTACTCAAGGAAAGGGAAAGTGTTGACATGCATAATGACTGCTGTGTTGAGTAATGAAGTGCTATTAAGGAGGAACAGCAGCCTGCAGCATGTTATTACTGTCACTGAAGTCTAGGTGTTAGGCAGTCAAATATCTATTTACAGTAAGCCAAGTGCCAAGGCTATTTTAACTGCCATATATCTACCCTTTATCAAGATAGAGGGGAACAAGGAAATTTGCTTGAAAGTTCTCTCAAGAAAAGAAACTTGATGTTTATACTGCTTCTCCACACTATCATGTCAACATTTGTCAAAGCCTATTTTGTAAACAGTAATATTACTGTGTTACTAATTACTCTGATGGAAAATACTAGGCAGCACTGGGTACTAGGCATCTGACTGTACTGTATACATGTAGTACTGTACTCTATGAAAAGTTTGGATATATGCATTTATGATGTTTACGAAATATATGTACCTACAAAATTACCCCAAAATGGAATATGGAGTACCCTATCACTATTATTATTGAATTTATAATTTTGTCTTTGGTGATCATTTTTTGAAAACGTTTTCTAGCTGTTCTAATTATATATCCACTTACTGCATGACAACAACTTGAGAGTTTCAGCCCAAGAGGTGGCATCTTGCTCGGTATGTGTACAGACCTATCTGAAAGATCCCCATCATAAACACTTCTTCATACCAGGCTGAAATGTCAGATTTACTCAAGACGACTGCCTATGCTTCAGTTTGATTCTTTGATTGCACATAGAAAATTGTATGACACGTTGGTGTAAGAACACTAATGTAGAGACTGTGGATGTTGTACAAATTTAAAATAACCAATTACAACGAAGGAAGAGCCCCATCTACAGCACATAGAATTACAGTAACTTAGCACACTGACAAGCTCCTGCCCATGGAAACAGCCATTTGTGAACATTTCTAATTGGGATTTATTTTTTTCTCAATCAATCAAAATATAGCTTACAACAGCCTCTATTGTTGCGCAGTATGCATTTGCATCTCCTGCATGTTTCACTCCAAATTGTATTTGAATTATTTTTTTTAATGGCAAACTCCAGACCATAATGATCACACGGCTGAATCACCTACAGTAAATATTATTGCACATCATATGAAGAATAAAAAATGCACAGAATCATAATGACTGTATTCCTACAAAGGTTCCTTGATCTTTAGCGTTAGCAACAAAACTTCCGTGACTCTCCTCACTTGCTGCTATCTTGACACACACCCCCACCCTCTCTTAGCATGATAGTCTTGTGGCACAAAATCAAAGAATGAGTAAATGACACCTCATTACCCTGCAGGAATGGCTAACAACATACATTGACAATGATGTATTATAGTATTCATCCACAATACCACTGTATTTAAAGGGGGTATCCAGTGCAACACAAATATCCAACAGACTTTAGCAAACTGCAGTTTATTTTAAATACACGGAACCTATGATGTCACTATGATAATCACATGCTCCAAAATGTCTCCATAATGCAGAAACCTGTTCCCTCAGTGTAGCCTCCTGAGCCACAAAAGACATCTTCTGTTACTGGCAATATTCTTTATTCATAAATTTTATCTTACATCCTTTATCCTTTATACAGTAGTTAAATGCTATATAGTCACCTTGCAGTACAGCCCTTTGTATAAAAATGTTAATGAATGTGACATACTGTATTGCAATGTATTGATTTGTGAGACCCCTGTAGTGTTTCTGAACAGATGCTTTAGTACTTCCATGATGGCAGAAGTGGGCGTGATGCGTCAGACTGCTTCAGTACAAGTACCTCTTCCTTTTCTTTGTGGTACAGGAGTCTACACCAGAGAATCATTTTTGAGACTGGTGATGTAACACTGTGGGGATGTTCTGGAGCAGGCTATCATCGTACAGTACAATGACATCACGTGTCATGCAGTTTTATACATGCAGTTTTGTGTTGTACTTTCCCTGTCAACAAGTTCATTCAAACCCTAATATTAGGTGGAGTAGTGGCGTGAATTGAATTAATGTATTTTATTGGCATAACTCACTCTGATGAGGAGAAGGGGAGAGAGATTAGATTAAACAAACTTTAATTGAAAACTCCATTTAAGGGTACCCTCTATACGATATATTAAATTTAAAATAGTTGCCCTTTCATCTCAAGTTCATTATATAAACCTCCCCTTCCCCATAGATTGAGGTGTTCATCATGAGAAACGTCCATTAAAGAGAAAACGGTCAAGAAGGAATTGGGTTCACTTCACATCATGTACTTTTAAATGAAACAATGACAATTATGATCACATACAGGACCTATTAAGTTTTATTAACATTTATTTACATAAGGCATCAGCTGAAAATGTTGCAGACTATCAGTTATTTCAATCACCATGTAACTAAATTCTTCAATTCTCCAAAAACAGAGGCTGAAACTTTAGTTTTTTGCAAACAGATGAAAAGGTGAAAGGCTTACCTTTGACCCATCCAGGCTGATTATTCTGTAGACATTCCTTGTGCTGTCATAGAAGTAGGAGACGGTAACAGCATGCTTGCTGGTTGGAACCCAGTTCTTTTTGGTGTTGGGGTCAATTTGGAAGACATGAGCTCGGGTGCTGTAGATGGGCTGCTCCCTGAGAGGAAGAAAGTAGAAGTGATGAATCTGGTTCGGCCGCAGGATTGTAGCCTCGCAGAGCCCTGCAGGGGTCTCGGAGCTGCCCCTAGTTTGGCAAACCACCTCCCCTTGCATCGTCGTCGTGGGTCTCTTCAATTTAGCCTTCAAAAAGTAGGGAAACTTGACAAGAGACCACAGGGCGGCACACAAACTGAATGAGCACCCACACACGCAACAAATTATAGAGCCTTAAAGCTGAGACAGTGCTCTTAGCCACTTGAATGGAAATGCCAGCTGTGTAGTCAGAAGAGGGTTGCAAACTAAATATAGAGCTCTAGAAACAGTAATCTGCCAGAGTCCCACCCCCAGTCTGTTCATCTTGGTGTCGCACCGGCCTTCCTCTACATAGGACAATGTCAGCTTTCAGAGAAAACCCAATTCAAATGTTCAGCGAAGCAGAGTCAAGAAGAGGAGGAGTTAATCTTTGAGTCCCCTTGGGAAAATGAGCTCACAAGCAAGTATGCATGCGGACAAGGGAAAAGAGAAGAGAGGGCAAAAAAGTCAACAGTGTCTACTCAGTCTAGTGGATCTATGACAAAACGTGTTGAAAGTGGTTAAGCCAGGTGCCAGGTCATAACTACTGTACACACTGGTTGTCAATCCATCAGTTTCCTTCAATTTCATGAGCACCTGAGGGCTGAGATTTTTTTTCTCCCTTTCAAAAACAACAAATGAGGAGCTCAAAGGCTACTGAGTCCCACTAGTCCTACAGCCTGCCAGCAGAAGCACAGCCTTTGGGAATCAAAAATCAATAGCACAAGCTCCTCTCAGGGGTGACAGCACACATCTGAAGACATAATGCCAGCACTGATTGTGCCGCTTCAATTCTCAGAAATCAGCAAAGGCAATTTCAATTTTACAAGCTAATTTCCAAATGTTTTATAAGGGCTGAGTCCCCCCGGGGTACTGTGGCTAATATTAAAGTTACAAAAACATGTGGGCTCAACAAACATCTCTGACAATCTCAAATATATCATGAACATTACTAGAAAAAAATAGTGAATTAAAAAATGTTCTGCCCAGTGAATTTATTGATAGGGCATTCATAAATCTCTTAAAGCATGAAATGCATGCTCATTGACAAAATAAAACTTAATTTATGTAATACCGTGAGCTACAGAGATTTTCATCTTTCATCACTGCTCACCACAGCGATGTTCAATATGTGTTCAATATGATAAAAACATCAGTTCACAAAAAAAACACCTTTTGTGTTTCTGTTATTTATTCTTCTCAGCAAAATCTTAATATTGAACAAAACTGTATTACATTCTGTGAAATTATCAAACTCAGTACACTGTGCAACCTATGCTGCATACTTTCTGCAACCTTTCTAAACCTGAAGTAAAAGTAGTCAAATTAATAGTATAAAAATGGTGTTAATGAAGTGTTTTCTAGAGCACAGTAACAAAGTTATGCCTGTTTTTAAAATTGTTATTAAGGACACCTTTTCCCCACTACAGTTACAGGTTTGAAGAGATTACACAGCAGCCAAGCTTTTAAAGCAGATAGAGGTATTGTAAATTAATTTTAATCAGAAACGCAGGATCTCACTGGAATCAACTAAATATGGAATAGAAAACCTTACCCTAACCTATCATGCTTTTAGCATGATTAAAGGGGGGGGGGGTTGGAGCACGATTATCATCCACCCTAAAATTACTAAAATAAGTACCCTTACAAAGGGAAGAAGAAACAGCATACATCAAGCTCAGTGATGTGAAAACCTGGCTCAGACACAACTGCAGCTAACACTAGCATGGCCCAAGACAGACAACACAACTGCAGTACCATGAGTTATTTCCCTCGCCTACCTTATACACCAGTATATGCCCCCTAGGCAGCCATTTTCTCCCATGAAACCTCATGAATCAAAAGATTAAACTTCCCAGCGCTCATGTAAAATACCATTTCAGTTTCTTGTCTACATTGACTGTACATCTTCCCATGTCAGCAACTACACATGTACTAACAAATTATATTATACTACGTTATCTCGTATTTACAAGCCTAAATGCAGTAGATTTTTCATTGACCAGGTAAATGGGCCACAGTATCGGAAAATGTAGGTAGGCGATTTCAACATCTCCCCACGTGGACTCTGTCCTATTCCCAAAATTGAATAAATAATGCCAACCCAGAGTTTCTAATCAGCTGCCATCGCTGCAAGATATTCAGTAACAAAGTAACAAGCTAGTAAGGGATTGTAGGATTTTCAAAGGCAGCAGCACATGGGAAAGCAGATAGGGAACTTCTTACAGCGCAGAAGAAGCAGTATGTCATTTGTCAACATCAAAGCCTCCTTGCATAATTCCATCCATTTTCTAACCGCTTCATCCAATTCAGGGTCGTGGGGGAGCCGGAGCCTTCTTTGCATAATTGAAGTGATTCATTCAGTAACATTCACTACAATTTAACAATGAAATGAATTAAATGAAAAATGGCTTTAGACAATGCTGCAAAGCGTTTAAATACATTCATCAATATCTAATTTTCATGGTTCACCAAAAGTTACCGTTGGTCATTTCTTCATGATTTTGCAACCAATGGTATTTTTCGTCCTGTTCACAGTTCGGGAAAGGGACAGCCACAATGTCCAATTAATGTCACGTGTCGTATTCTTGACCTGTCTCTGGTTAATCTTGCCAGCCAAGGTTATAACTGAAACAGAGCCATTTTGAGCTACCCTGCTAGTACAGTTTCTATTACATTTATTGATCCAAGGGCCCCTCAAGCCTCTTTTTCTGGTCCCACTAAATGAGAGTCCACAATATGGCAGTTTTTTTTCAGAAACAAACAAAACCCTTTTGAGTCGTTAATACACTCACACTTCATTTTAGTCTGTGTCTTTTGGTCTGGGTTCCCCTTGAGCTAAATGTAGTTCAGATGACTTTTGTACATCCCTTCCAGGGTTTTGAATACCCAAATCACATTTTCACAAAAGTCTTCTATGTCCCAGGCTAAATAGACTGCATTCTTTTAAACTCTGAAGAGTAGGAAATAACTTCATCTGTAGCAATTATTCTGCTTGTGGTTTTTTTTTAACTCTTATGGGGAGAAGTGTTGTTTTTATTGATTATTCCTGTATCCTGTAAATGTAAATGTGCATTGCAGAAACATGGAAAAATATAGAGCAATTTGCTTCTGGGGAATTCTCATTTCACTCACATTATACAAAAGGCAGTTCAAATAATTTTAGATCACACTGAAGAAAACCACAGAAATGACCCAAACTCGTAACAGGAGTATCTTTAAAGTGACAATGAAATTTGATGTACAGGTATGCCATTTTCTTGTTATAATTTCCATTGTGATGTTTTCAGTAAGGAAACAGCAAATTGTATGCTTCCTCTTAAAATGTAGTATGATACCCTGTGTATTAGTGAATCATGTATAAAAGATGTAGTAGGAAACCTAGGAAGACCTGTCACAATACTGAGGATCATGAAATTGTTGAACTGCAGCTACCAGATCATTTGTGTTTGTATTTAAAAATACACCAGACAGAACACCATCAATTCACATCATTCTCTAGCTGTACATCACAGAGACATTTACCCAACTGAAATTTGGTCCTGTCCCAAGATACATTAAATGGGGAACTTTCTTGAATGGTCTAAAAACATTAACACATTCTTCAACAAAACATGATGTTACTGCAATCATCAGCATTTTTACCTACAGTAAAAACAATATATATTTCTTGTGTCTTTGGCTGGAAATCGAGCAAGACCTACTGTATGTACAGTACTATTTAAGGCAGTGTGTTAAAACTTATGTTCTACAAAGAAATAAAGAAACTATTTACTTGAAAACCCAAACAACAAAAGCTTTTTTCAAAACCAATGAATACTGTAGCTATTAACTAATCAAGGACCGTGTCCTTCCGAACCTCTTTAATTGGTAAAGAATGAGTAGAAAAGTAATAAAGATATCTTTAAAAAGTAATAAGATATTTTAAATATAGAGCCTGTTTAAGAGTGCACTTCAGACCAGGATATCTAAGGGAATATTTTATGTGTACACAGTAACAAAAATGTGTTAACGTAGCTGGCTGTTCTAAAGATTTGCATGAAAGAGTGTAAAAGTACAGCTCTAAGAGCTTCAAATGTAATGTGATGTAAACATACTTCAAATATAATACTGTTAATCTGACTTACTTTACATTCATCCATTTTCTAACCTCTTGCCGAAGACTATTCCGGCAAGCAACAGGCACAAGGTAGAATAGTGTACACCCTTAACGGAATGCCAGTACATACAGCACACACACAGACATAAGCATGCACACCTTCCCACAAGGGGCAATAACCCCCCAAGCCAATTGCCCTATCAGTATGTCGCTGGGTTGTGGAAGAAACCCAGAGCACCCAGAGTAAACCCACGAGAACCTATGGAGAACATACAAACTACACAAAGATAGTACCCCAGAACCAGAATCGAATGCAGTCCCCCAGCCCTGCATTCTAAGAATTTCTAGGACGTAATTTTCCAAATGATCTACATTCAACAACTGCACAAACCGCAAACCACAGGAATATTTAAAGAGGCTGTGGAGAAAATGGACACAGATCAAAACCTTCCAAAACAGATCAGAATGCATGATGAGGAATACTTCACTATAAATGCAATTTTATGATGTGATATAATGGTCTTTTAAAGTTTCAACTTTTTTTTAAAGGAAATGTTGGCAATATATTCCTGCATAGATTTTTTCTAAGATTAAAAAACATAACAGAGATACTGCATTTGAAACCAAGACTTGCTAACCACATACTGAGAGCTCACTCATGCATGAAATTAAAACATTTCCAATCAGTATGTCCACAGGGTAAATGGTCAGCCTGATACACTGTAATGGATTGTTATTACTGTGAATAAGTGGCGTTCTGAGTAGCAATATGTATAAATTGTCCCAACAGGTTATATATCTCTTTTGTCACAAGTTTAATACAGTTA